TGAAAAGTTTGGCCTTGAATTCAAAGGAAAAATAAAAAAATTAATATTTCCTTTCTCTCTCCTCCATCTCTCCCTAAGCTTCCTTGGTTTTCTCTCTCTCCCAGCGTCAATTGGTATTGTCTTCGCTCACCGGCGGATCTTCGCATCTGCACTAAATCTCTAAAGAATAGCTTCAATAAACCTCCCGCTCAAATAACTTTGTCTCGTGTTTTGGATCTCAATTTCTACATTTTAACCTCTGTTGCTTGCATCTATTGAGTTGTTAATCACCTTGCTCTACTGCTCAATTTTCCATTCCAACATTATTCTTCCCCTTTTCAATTTAGAAGGAAAAGAGAGAGAATGATAAAGTGAAAGAGACAGAAAAATTGAGATTTATACAACAAAAAGAGGAACTCAATCGTCTGTATTAATGGTCAGCTATTTGGAAAATTCAATTCGTATCCATACAAATTCATTTTAATTTAGTAAATGAAATAACTCTTAATTATCCCTAAATTAAACCCTTAATTTAAGGTTTTTGAGGAGAAAGAGAGAGAACGATAAGGCATCGACAAGGAGGGGCAATCGTTGGAAATAATGGTAAGCTTTTTTAAAATTTCAATTAATCCATACAAATTCATCTTTTATTTATTTTTTTTATTTAAAGAAACTAAAACAATAAATAAAATCTTAGATTATCCCTAAATTAAACCATTAATTTAAGGATTTGGAAGGAAAAGAGAAAACAAATGATAAGGGGTTGAGAGGGAGAGGCCCAAAGGCATCATGGTTATTTTTTTAAAATCTCAATTATATAAATTCATATTTGATTTTTTTGATTTAAAGAAAATAAAAACAATAAATAAAATCTTAAATTATCCATAAATTAAACCCTTAAATTAAGGATTTTGAAGGGGAGAGAGAATGATAAGTCATGGGAGGGAGAACGATTTATCTGCTAATTAACATTTAATCTCACTTCACAATAATTGTACCAGAATTTACTTCCCTCCATCAATTATGTTAAAAAAAAAGTTTCATGTTGTAATATAATGTAAAATGACCAATTTTCCTTCACACTTATATTGAAAAGGGTAAAAAAATGAAGGCCAAAAACGGGAAAAAAATTTCTCCTCATCCCACCTTTTATATATACTATAGATATAGGTATAAAACTTTTTTTTTTTATTTTACTTAAATCTTATTATACAATACCATCAACTTCGATTTTAATTTGTCAATTATTTATTTACAATTATTATTACGTATTAATTTCAATTAAATGTAATTTATAATTGTTAATTAACATTGCAATAAAAATGAATAATATAACCCATTATTATTATTATTTTAATAAAAGAAATTATATTAACTTATATGCGAACTTATTTTAATTTTAATTTTTAATCTTAAATTTTTTTTGAAGCGAACTTATTTTAATTAGTCATTATTTGTTAATTATTATCATCCAACAAAATAAAGCGAAAGTGGAATTCATCCTTTTTCTTTTGTAGGAATGATTATATACTATCATGTTATTGGATACTTGCTTATTAGGTGTAATAAAAGATAACAAATTGTGAATATGATACCTAGTATATTATTAGGTAATAGCAGATTCCAAATCAAATAGAGGTGTAATACAATAAAAAAAAATGCTATTCCTAATCGTAATAGGAGTAATTATGTCAAAGCGAGCATTGCTCAGCGGTAATTGACATATACCTCCAAAGAAGTCTCTCTTTTTGGAAACCCTAATTTTTGGAACGGTAAATATCGTTT